ATGTGGCTTGTTAAGGTTAAATATTGACTAACACACAAAACTGCACTGGGCGCCTAATTCAGACCTCGCTGAAGTCTGCTGAAAAACTGCTATTAACTTTAATAGCCTTTGGGACCAGGCTGAATGAGCATGTTCCACTATGCCTGGGGAACTGAGAGAGCAGCCTCTGAGCCGCTGCAGGAAACAGCTCAGGAGGCAACTTCTGCCCTCTATATAATCCCAAGGAGCACAAACGAGTTAAGAGACTGATAAGCAAACCCCTTGGCTCTGAAAGACAGCCTGAAGGCCCTTACTTTCTGGCGCCTTTCACCAAAGCTATTTCGTCGGGTGAAGAGGAGATATAGGTAGATCGGTGTTCCAGATGCTCAATCAGTCCATCCACTTGGTCTCCTTCCTTGATCTGAACAGTATGGCACAGGCACAAAGCACGCAGAAACAGCTCTTCTCGGCACTAGGAAGAGCAGCAGCAAGGCAAACAAGTTAGTTACCAGCTCCACTGCCTGTCCTGGTACTACATGGGAGTAACAGCCTGTGGCTGGGTGCATGTGCCATTGAAATTCAGCACTTGTAATGATGCTGAGTCAAACAGCAGGTGTTCTGAATTACTAATGCTTTAGGTGGGGATTTTCAACACTGCTGGTGTTAAGCACCCAAATCCTTTCATCACCTCCAAAAATCTCCCCTTTATACAGGATCTTTCATTTACATTGTGCCTTTTATGCACACACAAGGAAAACTTTCAGTGAAGAGGAGTGGCAACCATACTGTCCAACAGCTGGGGAGATGTGAAAATGAGCTGGAGACATTGGAGCAATCATTACTCTTGCAAATAAAAAATGCCCTAGTGTCCTTCCCAGCCAGACAGGCAGAAAGCTGCTCCATGCAGATGCCAGCAATAACTTAGGCTGCCCTTATTTTTAATGCAATGGAAGGGTAAACAAAGACAACACAACTAGAAGAGCAATATTAGCCTGCTTGTTCAGTAATTTGTTCATGGGTGTGTACACAGTATTACTCTGATGCCATCTTAGCGATACAACTAGACCTCAGCTTCAGCTACAATTCTATTCCTCGTGGTCTTAGTTAAGCAGAGGATGTAGCTGATCCCCAAAAAACAGCTTTGTTCTCCCCTGTTATTACTATGCAAAATCAGTCCAGTGTGCAGCATGGCTATGATGATTAAAGAGAGAACTATGCCCAAATGGTCAGTGCTCCTACACTTGAGCAATGAAAAATACTGGATTCAGAAACCCAATTCTCCAAAGTTTCTCTAATGGACTAAGCCCACGCCTTGGCTCCAAGTACTGTCAAGTTTTGGGATGCTCAGAAATCTGCACCTGAGTTTTAACTATGATTCATATAGAGGCTCAAGTGTAAACTCCCAGAAATGGGAGCTGGCAGTGAAAAAGGAATTGACCATGCATAGCTCTACCTTTTCTGCTTTACCATAATATTTCAGAGGCCCATCCACCTCGGAAATGGACTCTTTGTACTTGTGCCCATCTATGCAGCACTCAATGAACTCCATGCTGTTTTCAGTCAGGGTCCCAGTTTTGTCTGTGAACACATATTCAACCTGAAGGGAAGAGAGGAATTCAATTCAGTGCTTATGCTCTTGGGGAAACAATCACAGCTCAGGCAGGGCTCAAACTGAAAGGAGTCACAGGCATTTTAGCAAACGGGCCTGACCCATAAGAGCACCCTGCCACTTCAAGCAGGGAATGCATATGCTCAGAGTAGGCTCCAAGCTTCATCTACTTCTTGTGTTACTATCTTCACCCTCAGAACAACTCCCCTTCTTCCCAATTCACTTCATGGCTGCCCCAGTTTTTCTTTTTAAAGAAGAAACAAACCACTCTCCAGAACTTGCCCCAGCTGTGAGATATCTGAATGTATGGGATGAATGTGCCCACAGAAATCAAAGCTTCACTACTGTTTGTTGAATCTGATGATGGCAATTTACTCCTAGTTTTATTTTATGTTCAAAATATATATTCAGTGCTGGACATCACAGCAACATCCTTACCCATATCGAGGACTTGAGTTATTTTATTTATGGCTGCACTTAGACAAATACAAAATGGTTCAGGGCTCCAGATTCCTCCCTGCCATGAACTGGTCTTCCTTAGATCTCTCTGAGTTGGTATTAAAAGATGCACAAAATACAGGGATGCAACAGAGAAACATGTAGTTTGTGCTTATAAAAACGCACATTCCAATATAAACTGTTTCCCTAATTTTTTCTAATGAAAAATCAAAATCCCATTTTGGATGCTTGCTTTTTAAACAAGCTCCCCATTGCTAGTCCCAGAGTGAAGCAGCTCTAAGGCGGTAAAAACAGAAGGGTAAGATGAGAACGGGAAGTAAATTTCCTGGGTTTTCATCATCAGATGGGGAAGAAATCCAAAAAAGAAACAACAGAAACAACAAAAAAAGGAGGATAAAACTGTCAAAAGCAAACTGTGCTTTAAAAATATAGTAGCTGCTAGCAGCAGAAGGACATGTGTTTGTTTGCTTTGTGTGATTTTTATGTTGACAGCATGGTTTAATTAGCTAAACACTGCAGGAAATGAGACATTTTCCCTAAAGAAATAAAAGCAGGGTGTATTTTCAATTGCGTTGCATTGCATTCAGCTCCCTGAGTGTGGATGAACAGAGTGAAGCCACTGGCTGCTTGGCATCCCGGCGAAAGCAGCAATCATACCCTTGTGCATGCAGAGTGCTGACCAGATGCGCACTCTTCCCATTAAGCTTCAAAGAGGCCAGTTACCAAGGATTTTTATTTTTAATTAAAGCGGTGAAAGCAAACACATGCTGCCACGCAGAGTGGAGCCTGCCATTCCCCCAGATGGAAACAAATCGCAGTGACCCAATTCCTCGCCTTTCATGTGCTATTTATAACATCATCCAGTTTTTGAAGCAAGGAGAATTGCATTAAATGTAAATTACCACCAAAAATAGTTAAAAGTTCTATGTGGATGGGCACATGAGTGACTAGCAGACTAAGGCTTTTTATTAAGGGAGAACATGATGAACTCCTACAGCAGCAGCTCCCTAGTTATTTTTCAGCACCATTAAAAGCTGCAATGCTGGCACAAATACAGCTATCAATTTTCTCTCTGTTCTTCTTTGCAGCAAAGTTTGATTTCCTTTACTTTTAATTAATTTATATAGTGACAGTCTTGATATCTAACTTTCACTGTCCTCATTAAAAAGCTAAAGTTAACCCGGCAGTCAGAAGACAGTATGCTTAATCACTTTTAACAGGTTGCTTCCAAAATACACCTAAATACCCTACTTAAATCAACACTCCAGAGCTGGCACACTTCCAGATTTTGAATTAGGAAACATTTCTCTGGAGGTCTCTAGGACACCCCCAACTTACCCTCTCAGGCTGGTACACAGAACCCGCAGGCAGGAGGGGGAGGCAGAGAGAATTATGTATTATATGAAAATCTAAGTCTCCCTACTCACATTAAAGCTTAAAGCACTGAAGCGTCCTACTCTCAGGAGACAAAGGGATGACAACATCATTTGCCCCATTCAGTGCCAATCGCCAAAATCGATTTCCTTCTCACGGCTAAGATCGACAACGAGGCCGCTCCATGCAACACCCTCTCTTTGCAAAGGGCATCTCGTCAGCCTGCTGCTCTGCTCCAGTGATCCCAGCATACTGCGCTGGAACAACTCTTGACATGGAGAAGGCAGAGAGGGATGAAACTAAAATGAGCCACAGACCTCCCCTGAATAGTGCATGTTGACAGGATCGCGAGATCCATAGCACAAAACTAGCTCCAAGATGCATGTGGCAGGCTTAATATGTAAAAGCAGCTAAAAGCTAGTGTTGGCCATTCCCATGCCAGATGTGTTGGGCACTTACTGTAACTTCTACAAGAGGGCTCTCATTTCAGTAGTTTCTAGTCCAAGGAACAAAAGCACCCTATTCCCATGTAACACCATCTGAACATCCCTTTTTAGTATATGCAGACACACCAGGAAGGGGGTTCTGACCTGTCCAAGCTCTTCATTGAGGTCCGAAGTGTTCACCAGAGCTCCTTCTTTTATTTCTTCATCGTACATCTCCTTATCCCAAGAAATGAAGAAGGACCCCAGAAACTTCTGCATTTCTACTGTGACGTACATGGAGACTGGGATAATGAAATTGAACAGGACCATAAATGACAGGAAGTCGGTGAACATCCTTAAGACCTAGAATGGAAAGATAATCAGGAACACTGTGGCCGGTGCGTATGCAACTCAGACAGAGCCAGACACAGTCTAAAACATAATGCATCCACTATGCTTGTCTGCTTTTCTTCATTAAAAGATGGAAAGATACCTTGGAAGAAAAATGGGATCCTATGAAAAAAAAAAATCACGCCAAGACTGATGGGTCAAGTCCTGTTTCTGTGGAACTGTGAAGGTGTCACTGAGTTTGGCTCATTGGCTCATTTTATGCACAACTTGGATAACTAAGTCTGCATGGTGTCTGATTCTGCAGCTGTTACAGGTCTGAATCTGGTCTCGTTTCGGTGAGCAAGAAACAGGGACCGTTCTGAAATCCGTGCACCTACCCCAGGGCATATGTAGGTGGTGCATGTGAAATCAGAACAAGATTGCCTCTGTCCTCCAAAGTTATTAAAAATAATGGAGGGCCAACATTTTCAGGGTTGGCTGTCCAGGACACAGTGGCTCAATCCATGTTGAGGCGCTGAATAAAAGTGTCTCCAGCCTGAATTTATGCAGTCAAGGTTGAAAGTGTTGGCTGAAGTCCAGATACGCACCAGGCATGTCAAAAATCTGCCACTGCTGCTGAGTGTGAGATTGGTGTGGCCAAATTTCTATCGATCTGTCTTTTGCCAGTAAATAAGAGACTAACTTCCAGAGACCTGAAGTTGGGGTGTAAGCATGCATACAAACACATGGGGATGCATAATCGGTACCAGTGGGGGCCAATCTTTTTGGCAGGTGTGTCACAAATTAAGCCCAGCACCCTCCACTACGGCCACTCCAGTCCCCTTCCCCTGCTTAATCTGCTGCTGCTTTCTGCTCCCTGCCACCTCAGTGATGTGCTATGTGCCACACACAGAAGCTGCCTGTGACACACACAAGACAAACCAGCCACCCCTGCTCTATATAACAGGAACAGCAACATGAGCAGCTGGAGTATCAGAGATTCTCCGAGCAGGGCTCTGCCTAGCTACCTGTAAGTATTTCTAGCAAGCGTACCAGGTAGTAGCTCAAAATGGAAACAAGCAGGAACAAAAGGGGAAAGGGCAATGAGGCACTGACAGGACTTCCCTTCATAAGCATTCAAAGCCTTAAGCAGGACAGATAGCCCTGGCAGCAAACATTATCAGATTAAACGAGGCTGTCAGAATATATAAGGAGGAAGGACCAACATGTCAGAATACACTGAGGAAGGACCAATCCACTTACCTTGAATGCCTCTTTCTCTTTTTTGGTTTTCTCATTATACCAAGGCTCATCATTAAATGGATTGCTCTGCCAGACATACTTCATCGTGGTGCACACTGTAGCTTTACTCAGCAAGATGCACAAATACACCACCAAGAAAGCATTGATAGATCTGAAACATAGGTTTCTTTTTAAAAGCCTCGCACAGTTATTTCTAATGTTCAGTCATGCAAAATAAGGCAGGTTGTAGTTTCCCTGTTTTTAAGATGGAAACTCTAGAATAGCTGCTTTTGACAGTGCCAATCTTCAGCGCCAAAGCCAGGGTTTTTAATACTCACTACTTCCAATTTGTGCTTTCCTGTACTGAACAGCCCTTCATTTTTAAATGGGCTGTTCAACACTGCAGCTTTTCAGCAGGCACACTTAACCAAACATACAGATTTTTCATGCAACTAGATTGTATCTGAAACAAAAGGCAGTGAATTATGGGACTGCAACTGCATAATTGGACCCACAAATAAGCCAACTTTTTATGGTACTTTCTCTTCTAGGCATCCATCTACTTACTTCTCTACAGCGGAACGCTTTTGACTTTTCCCTTGGTAGTTCAAAGCCATTTTTGTTTCCATTCCCGTGTAGACTGCAACCCCTACAGAACATTAAAGCATGGCTCGTGAGAGGCTTGCAACTCGAGAGAGCTCTACCTCCCACACAGCAGGGAAGGATGTCAGCGTTTGCACAGAACTTGAGTCTTGATCCGCAGAAAGAAGCATTACCCAGGGTTTAAGCACTGTTATTTAACACAATCTCCAGTGCTATTAAATAATTCTATGTGGAATAGTTCACAAGAGAGAACTGTCTAATGCTTAGCTGCAATATAATTTATTTCTGGATAGAGTTAATCAGTTTAAGAGCAAATATTTTTTCATCCCTCGCAATTACTTGTACAAATTGCTCAGAAGAAAAAAAAAAAGAGCAGCACTGCATAAATTTGTATGTCCTAAGTACTTGCGGAGTTGGCAAACAAATGACTGCAGTACCGATTCTTTGGAAAAGGGCACGGGGAGAGTGTTAGCATTTTAGAGAGAAATGACATGGACCAAATGTTGGGCAAGGGGGTTGGAGGGGAAACACCTGGAGCAATCCAGACCAAACTCAATTCTAGTGGAAGCTAGTGCTAACCCTCTTACATCTGGGGAACAATTTCTACTTACACCAAGGCTCAACTCAACCCTTGAGGATACTGGAACCATTCACAATAAGCTGTGTGTGATAGTGGGTAGCTATAAGGAATACACGTTTGCCATGCAAACTTAACTGCTTGTTTAGCAGAGATGCACTAGTTGGTGGGCAAACAGAATAGGAGGCAAAGGAGCAAAGTTTTCCAAAAGGAGCTGCAGCTTTGGGGACCAACCCTGAGAGAGTGACATTGGGGCCTTTTACAGAAAACACTGAGCATCTGCTTTCTGAAAGCCTGGACCCATTAAAGAGTTGGGCTGAACACCCAAAAAGCACAAGTCATTTTGGAAATCTTGGCCGATGTATTTAAAATATCAGTGGAGCACTTGACACAGGGTAGGTTTACACTGCACTCAGAGGTGCGACTGCAGCTCACGTAGACACACTCGCAGGCAATTCTCTTCTAGCTCAGCTTGAATAGCAATAACAGCATAGCCCAAGCAGCATGGGACATAAGCCCAGCCAAGACGTTGGGAAAACAGCTGGCAGCTGAAGCCAGGTACCACTGCAGCTTCACTGCTATCAGTACCCACAGCAGCTAGATCAAAGTAGGTCTACACAGGCTGCAGTCACTCTTCCGCCCTCTGTGTACATCAGTGGTCCTCAACCTTTCTAAACTTCACGTTGCTGATTTAAGGCCCGCCCCGTCATTAGGCTCTAGGCACCCTGCAGGAAATGCCAGCTCTTAGTTTTCACTTGTTTTTTGACTGCAGACAAATAATAGAGCAATCCTTCTACTGCACAAAACTCAGGAAGACCACAGCAGGTCAGAGTGTTTTGGACGTTATGAATTCCTATTTGAAATCTCTGGGTTGATTTGTGAATCATGTGAAGGTGTTCACACACCTAATGGGGCTAATATTGCATGTCATGGCACACTTAAGAGGATCTCACAGCACCCCAAGGTACTGTGGTACCCTGATTGAGAATTACTGGTGTAGCTGTCTATAGTCTTATTCCCAAGATTATATCAAGTATCCTGAACATGAACCCAAGCTGAATATAGGGTCCTGACAGAAGGGCTGTACATAAGTGTTTTGCACTCATAGACCCACTGATAAACATCTAGGTTTTCCTAGTTATCCACCAAAACTATTAACAAAGAGTTGTTCACCATAAATCTTCTTGGTATTTTTTAAGGTAGCACCCTTCAGCAACAGGTTTTCTGGACCCAAAGACCTAAATACAGAAGAAATTACGACATTAGATGACATGTAAATCATTTCACACCAGCTCATGCATGTATCATTTTCACAGTTTAAAAAGAAAGCTAACCCTCAAGTCCTGTAGGCCTGCTTATTAATACTCTCAGGTCTGGAGAGTTGTTTGCCTTGGATATTACCCAAGGAATTAGTTCATTCTGCTTATTTCTCCCTGCACATGGATATTTAAATCCTCAGTTTCTACATCTTACTCCACAAAGTATTACAGGTATTCAGACTCTTCCATGCCCAATTCATTTGGGAATTCAGGCCAATATTTTCAAGAAAAGGGCCTATTAAAGTTAGGCACTTGAAAAGCTCTGTGAGGGGCCTGATTCTCAAAAACATTTAGCACCCAGGTGTTTTTTAATTTAAAAATAATAAAGCTGAAAAAAAAGTTGATGCGTTCTTTTCTCTCCCATATATTCCATTAATTTCTTATTTCTTTCTAATCTTCCCATTCAAAAACGTTGGTTGCTCCTACTTCCAGAGCTAATCTGGTGTCAGCTTTTTAAAGTGGAGGAAGATACATGTTGTGCAAGTCCTCAAAAAGCCAATCCGGAATATTTCAACTGCCTCTAGACAGCCCTGTACTTTAGTGAGTATTGGAGAAACAATTAGTTTGTCAGCCCTGAGGAATCTGAGCTGCAGATGTTTTAGTACCAATGCCGCAGGGATGAACACCATGAGCATGACAGGTACAGGCTGAAAGAGAGACATCTTATTTCCTTCTTTGCCTGTTCTGAGTCGCTTACTGGTAACTGGTGAGCTAGTTCCCACTGCTGCTTGAAAATCCTTCTTTTACTACTAAGTGCCAAGTCTGCCTTTCTCCTGTGCTTTAAAATTTGCTCCCCCTAATTTTGTAGCACTAATTAGTTATTGATCTCCAGCTCTGCCTCATAACAGCATTCTCATTATGAGTCATGGGAAACAACCAGATCAATAACTAATTAGTGCTACAAAATTAGGGGGAGCAAATTTTAAAGCACAGGAGAAAGGCAGACTTGGCACTTAGTAGTAAAAGAAGGATTTTCAAGCAGCAGTGGGAACTAGCTCACCAGTT